CACAGCTAAACAAGCTCAGATGTATTAACGATTGAGAAATTGTCTCAAAAATAGTTTGTAGGCAAGTATATAGGTTTTACACTCATTCACTTAAGCTTTATTGAGAAACCTCATCGGCTCTCTCCATAATCTCTCAAAACAGCTGCATGGATCAGAGTATAATAATGTTTCTCTGTTTTAAATGAATAAGGACCCTGTTTCTATTATTGTAGAGCTCAGATCATTGCAGGCTGTCCTTCAAGCGGTTTAGGAGGAGGGACGTCTTATTCACCACAGCAGGAGTTTTAAAAGCTGCTTGGCATCTGAGCGCTTTCATATCAAAGGCAGACGCGTCAGGACTCACACGTATGTGCCTCTGCTTACTCGCAGGTGAAGTCTCAGCTGCACAGCTGTATCAGTAGACATCTGGAGATCCTTCGCTCTCGTGAGGTCTGGCTGCTGGAGCAGATTGATCTGGTGGAGCAGCTCAAAGGAGAAACTTTACATCAGCAGCTACAGCAGCTGCATTTGGTGAGTTTAAAGGGATTTTACTGAGCATTTTTACATTTTCGGTTTGAAGAAGTACATGTGATCATTTGTACACGCAGCCATCTGTCAGTCAGGAAAATTGAGCCGTTATTGCTGAAATACTGGTATCGTTTCTTTTTTTTCTTTTTTCTTTTTTCTTTTAGTATTGACTTACAGTCAAGACTAAAATAAAGCAGTCAGTACAGATACTTTTGATAATTCTGAGACATGTAATCTAAATATTGACTCTGACTACTGAAACTAAAGGAGAAGTGAAGCTGTTCTGCTTGAGATACTGTAAAGCTGAAATGATTATTGTTCTCTCGTGGTTTCTTACAGCTCAAAGGCCAGTTTGACATTCTCATTCATCAGCTGGAGTATTCCAGTAGTAACAATCTCGCCACCCAGCTCACCAACTGCCTGGAAAAGTAAGAACCAGATCGACTTTTCTAGAATGATTTTGTTTTGTGCGTCTGCTCCAGTGTGTTAAATGACTGTTTACATGTCAAGATAGTCAACAGAGGTAGTGTAGTGGTTTCCCTGTCTCCCTGTCAATCTCCAAACAATCTACAATAATTTTCAACCACAAAAATGTCTATGTAGATGATGAAAATGTATTGGATAATAATGGGTTTAAAACTCGTCTTTCGTCATTCCAGGCTTTCTTCTTTCAATCTGACTCCTGACGAAAGCCCAGAGATGAGTTTCCAAGCAGATGCACGCAGCTTGCGCCAGGCGATCACATCCTTTGGGACCATTTCTACCCAGGTTTGTGGAATTGCTGATTTGTAAGTAGTCAAGTAGGCCAAGTAGATTAAAACTGTTTAATGCAAGAACTATAATACAGCAAAAAATAATCAAAGCATGTTTTCAAAACTGTTTTCATTAGATGAAAATTTGAAACATTTTGAAAATTTGAATTATTTGAATACACTGGCACAGTCTACACCTGACATCAGTGGTACGACACAAACAGAGCCCAGTATAATCAGCAATCCTGTCTAAACTGGATATGAAACCATGCTGTTCTATTTCTGATGTGCTCCATCAATTACACTACTTCCGACAACAGTACTGTACAAATTGATTCTGAACTTTCTTGCACTTTTGTTCAGTGCAGACAACCTCAAGCTGTTGTGGTACTGGTTGTGCCTGGTGTAGACATGGTGTGAGAATTTAGTGAACACGTTCTGATAGAACATATGGTCCGGTTATTAACATAGGATTGAAATGTCCAGTTGACTTTTGACAGGATCACAGTGTAGCTGGGGAGAGTAGAACGTGTGAAAATACTGTGCGCTCATACCATTGCTATAAATAGACCTGTGCACCCTTACACAAAGCACATGAATTCATAACTCTTCTCTGCTGCAGCACATGGAGACCTCAAACTCTTCTGAGAGACCATGGCTTCTCCAGGACTGCCCAGTTTCTTGCAAGAAACAGGTTTGTTTTTGATGTTACACATGGCTTGTGTAGCTTCCTGCTCTTTAATTTGCATCCAAGGTAAAATACCCATCTTGTTTACTTAGAAATTAGATCCTGAATGGGCCACACCTCTGGCTGAGTGGCTTCTAGGAAACCGTTCAGTAAGCAGCGCTCCTGTAGGACACCACCTCAGCACAAACCCCCAGGACTGGCTGCTTGTCTCCAAGGAATCTCAGGTAAACTGTTATTTAATTTTATTTTTCATCATGCGATTATATTGTCTGATATAAGAGCAGGTGTGTGACCCACTTGTTGAGAACCGTTGAATTATTCACTTGACTGTAGCTAAAGTGCTACTGCTCTTAAATTGATGTCTTTAGAAAATGGCACACTGAGTTTTTTTCATTTCCACTTTACAGGAAGAGCGACAGTTACCTGCCTTTGACTTCCAGAAAGCTTGGGGCCAGCTTCAAGACCTGGAGTCGTGGCTTCTGAAGGAGAAATTGCCAGTTCGTGAGCGAACCTGCAGCGGAAGCTCAACCTTCTCGATTGAGATGATCGAGGAAAGTGACCTAAATCTGGATGAGGTGGAAGTGGAAGACCAGCAGGACAAATGGGATGACGCTGTTGAGGAAGAAGAACTCAGCAAGTGGCTCTTCAGCCCAAGCCCGGTCAAGCAAGATAAAACCAGCACGGTGTCAGATGCTGACCGCTTCAAGCAGATCATCAAACCCTTTTACGAGAGCTTCTCCCCCAGCGATTGGCTACCGAAATCCGACTGCAGCTCTTGCTGTGCCACACGCACCACTGCCGTGGAAATCGAGAACCTCGGAAAGCTCAAGTGCCTAAAGACTCCACCTTCATCCGCTGCCAGCACTCCAATCACCAGTCCAGAAACCATCGAGATGTGGCTTCACAAGACCATCCCTATCGAGACCACCTGCAAAGCCAACGAGACCTGTGCCAGCTACGCTCAATGTGTCTGTGACGACAACTGTGGAAAAGAGGCCCTCAGTGCTTGGCTCCTCAAAAAAGAGGGTCGAGATAAGAATGGCGTTCCTGTCAATAAGAACGCCACAAACAAAGCCTCCAGCCAGCAGCAGGAGCAGCAGCAGAAGGTTCAAGCCATCCTAGAAGCGTGGCTACACCCGAGCAACAGTGTCAAGTCCCCTGCCCTGTCGTCCCTCTCTGCCTGGGTGACCCCATACATCAAAACCTCAGACTCTGAGAGCTCTGTCCAGGAGCCTTTGCAGAACTGGCTTTTGCCAGCGATGAAGCACATAAGCACAACCACTGAGACGCCAAAGAGCGAGAACACTAAAGAGCAAGACAGCAAAGACATCGAGGAGGACAAATGGCTTCTACGCAAACGGGCCAGTGCACAGGTGAGGCCCAGCACAACATAAACACATTAAAGGGACAGTTTACCCCAAAATTTAAATGGTCATCAATTACCCTCATGTTGTTCCAAACCCATATGACTTTCTAAATGCAAATAAAGACAATTTTAATGAAACCTGAGAGATTTCTGTTCCTCCATTGAAACTTTACACAATCAAAACTAGGGCTGGGACAATAAATCGATGCATCGCGAATAGAGGAATGATTCTCCATCGATTCTGAGATTTTCCGAAGGCATCGCGATTCTCTCTTGAATCGATTCTGAGCTTAGTTTTTAACAGCAGATTGAACTGCATGCTTTAGAAATAGCCGTATTCTGCTTGCTTCCAGTTCCTTACACACGCACCATTTGAACCTAAAATAATCATTCATAAAGTTCGAAAAGGTTGAAGCGAATTACAAAGAATTTACATTAATCTTGCATCATAAAAGCATAAAAGCCGATGTGCAAGTACATTTAACCACTTGCATTACTCAGCCGACCGCACAAGCGCTCTTCTTCGTGAGCATTTGAGTGTGCGGTTAAAAACTAGCCTAGAGCGCCATCTGCTGTTAAAAACTAAGCTCAGAATCAATTCGACAGCGAATCACGATGCATTCCGAAAATCTCAGAATCGATCCACGAATCGCGATGCATCGATTTATTGTCCCAGCCCTAATCAAAACTTTGGCGCCAAAACGTTCATAAAGATTCTAAAGAGACACAAAAGGTCCTGTTTAGATGATTAACAGACTTAATTCAGAACTTTATTCAACACACATATTGGAACATTGATCAACACATATATAGGGCACATCAAATATGGTAAACACAAACTCCTGATTGGATTACTTTTACAAAGTCTTTATGAACGTTTTGGTTGCTTGAACTTTCAATGAAAGAACAGAAATCTCTCGGGTTTCATTAAAAATATCTTCTTTTGTATTTCAATAATAAACGAAAGTCTTGGGGTTATAGAACGACATGAATTGATGACGGAAGTTTTGATTGAACTGTCCCTTTAAGAAACCATTTTAGGTTTCCATCCATAGAACTAGGGTTTAAAAATGTCACTTTTAAAAGTTGCATTTCATACACATTAGTCATATCCATATACATTATATACATACACGTCATAGCACGTTTTCCTGTGGTTTGTCCAGGAAAGGCTAGGCCTGCCCACAGTATGTGACCTGTTTTCCTGTATGAAGCTCAGTGGGGACAAAGAGAAGTGGCTACATCAAGCAACTACACAGGTGAGAAACAATGATATAAATATGTTATAACGTTTTTTTTAAAAAGTAGTCCAGTTTTTTGCGTTCAGAGGAAGTAAAACCATGTTCTCTTCTCTTTTTCAGATATGAATGCAACATCCATTGGCTTTTGGAGATTTGACTCGAGCGTTGTTTCATCGCTGATTATTGCACAATATTTTTTTCTTCAGTGCTCTTTAGGGATTCATTCTCTCTGTAATCTTCTTGATTGAAAGGGTGATCTGGACTAAAGGTCCTGTCCAGGAGGCAAGGCTTTTGGTACACCATCACTTGAGGAAGTGTTAATGTAGGGGAATTACTGTCATTTTGCCCTTTTATTGGCTTAACGCAGTTAAATTTCAGTAATGTGATTTAGAAATCACGAGGAAATGGACCAGATTGGTGCATACAAAACAAATTTTAATTTTTTTCCCTATGGAGGCATAGTGGGGGTGGGGGTTGGAATAAAATAAACTGAAATGAAAACATAAATCTATATTAATTTTAATCACGCACAGTTACAGCATTTTGTATTCATTTTCCAAAACTCAGTCCTGCACATATGGAGGAAAACATGCTCTAAAGCAGAGAATGATTTCCTCCATCATCAGTTCTGTGAATATATATTTATATAGAATTTTACTATTTTCTCAAGTATCGAATGAGCTTCCTTTGCCGTTTATTTTACCTTATTTCAATGATTATATTATAAACTTTAGTGGCATATAAAACGCCAGGTAAGCATAGCATAACTTCTGTTATTGGAACCTCAAGAAATCTGTTAACTCGTGCCTGATATCGAATGTGTAGCAATGCTTGCTGTCAGTCCACCTCCTGTATGTGTGGAAATCAGTCCACCAAAGTTCACCATTTCTGCTGTGTCTTGGGCTACAGCAGCCGATGTTTGTTGAGTGGTCTTTGTGTTAGGCTCAGAGTGTTGGTAAATGTTTAGCATAGAATCACTATAGTTCTTTTTCAGTTGAATTGCTCATATAGTAACCACTGCCTCTGCTGTGAACCACCGTGTCAACATATAAGACAAGATTTATACTTTGCACTCGCAGAGCAAAGGCTACAGGTGAAACTGGTTCAAAAATTAAACTGCTTCCTTTAGACAGAAAATTCAATTTAATCATAACGTTGTCTCGTGTACCAATCTTTCACTTAGTACTGGACCAACGACTTGGTACATAAATATTAACAGTGCAGAAATCTGTCTTTTTTTCTGTCAGCATGTGCCAGTGTTGGACTGCAGTATTGCACATGTAGGTTAATCGCAAATATTGCTTACATGATCTCTAATGCTTTGATCCTTGTCAACTGAATAAATAAAAGTACATAAAGTCACTGATTTCAAGTTTCTGTTTCCTAACAAAAAATACCAGTTTATTCTCACAGAAAGAGGAACCTAGACAAAAAAAAAAAAGTCATGGAGTGATTCGAGGTCATATAAACCTCATTTCAACATCTCAGCAGAACACACAAATGTAAAAGAAACCCATTTTTATAGCACAGATTTATTTACCTTTTAACAGAATTGATAAACGTTTACTTCTAGTTACACATACATTCTGGTGTCCGTTAACTCAGTGCTGGCAATGTGCCCAAGTATCATTTCATACATTCATAATTACTAAATGATATAGCAATGAATTTGTGTAAACACTCATTATCTGTTTCTACTGCGACGTTTTGTTTCGTTCAAACACGCGTTTTAAACTCAATTACAGACTGCAGTTTTGCATGCCTGCTGAAAACAAGCAACGACTTGCTGCACTAGTTGGTACTAAAGCCATTATGGGTTATATATACACATCTGATAATCTATCCGTTACGTTAATGGACACTAAATTCAACTTTTGTCTAAAATAAGTTTTAATAGTTTCAAACATTGCTCATATATCAAACTATATATTTTTAGGAGATTGTCATGCATCTGAAGCCTCAAAGTGCGGTTCGTTTAAAGTTAATGGACATTGAATTTAGAAAGAAACAAAATTGCCAATTTGTGGATTCATTTGTTGTTGTCTTGAGAGAAGCTTCAGTAGCGGGTAGGAGAGCTTCCCTTCAGATGGTCCCAGTTATTGTAGAAAGCATAGAGTCCAGAAAGCGTGAGCCCAACCAAACCGCCCCGCGCTGCGCCCCGCAAACCTCCTGCAACGAAACAAACAGAACTTTAGGAAACAAGTGAAAACAAGAATCGGCAGTTCCTCTAAATTTCTCTCTAGATGAACTTCTCTTCCTTAAGTTGCACTCATCACTCTCACCAAATTGTGTAATAACGCTTGACATCTTTTTTTTTTCCCAAGTAGCTCCCTATGAAAGTCTCCTCACTTATGAGAATCCAAACCTTACCGCATTAAACTCTTAAAGGGGTCATAGGATGCTACATGCACTTTTACAAGTTGTTTGAACTGAAATGTGTGTTGGTAGTGTGTGTGTGTACACAACCACCCTATAATGATAAAAATCCTCCCGGTGTTTTTTTAAAATCTGGTTAAATGTTTTCCCCTTTCTCAAATCGAGCCGATCTCAGATGCCTGTCTGTGTGACGTCACAAAAGCAGGCCCCTCCCACGATAGTTTGATAGACAGTAGCGTTTCAGCACAGACTGGACTGGTGTCTTACCTCAGACCCACCCTGAGTGAGCTGTCATCAGTCCGCCATTGTTTCACCGCCGGAGCAGATGTAGACAAGAATGACTCCTAAGCGATTGAGGTGTTTTGTTGTTGGATGTAATAATGAACATAGCAGTCCTCATTTACTCCCGACATCTGAGCCGCTGAACTCGCGATGAAACAATGGATTTCATTTGTTTCTGAAGGGAATGCTCCCTCTATCTGCCTAAATGTGTCTATGTTCACGCGAATCATTTATGATCCAGCCTCATCTACAGAAGAAGTGAGTATAATGTTTTGTAATGAATCTTTGCAAATCGCCTTTCCTAATAATGTGCTAATTAGCAAGTTTCACGATGAATGCGGCTAAAGTAAACAGTCTCTCTGAGAGCAGCTCGGAAGAGAGGGGCGGGGTCAGCAGAGCTCATTAACATTTAAAGGAAAATGCTACAAAAACGGCTTGACTTGTTTTTGACAGGGTAAAAAAGGTGTTCGCGGTTTGGAAGATGAATTCATGATGTACTCGCTCATTATATACATTTTGCAAATTTTGAACACAGAAAAAGTTACATAGTGCTGCTTTAAAAATAAAGGTTCCAAAAAGGGTTTTTTTTGTAGCAAAATAACTTTTAGTGTTCCTCAAAGAACCTTTCAGTGATCAGTTCTTAAAAGAACCTTTTTTTCTTAGTCTGACGAACATTTTAAAGACCTAAAAAAATTTTATTTCACTATAAAGAACCTTTTGTGCAATGGAAATTTCCATGGATGCCAAAAACAGAACCTTCATTTTGATAAAGTGATCTAGTCCAAGCTGTTGTTAAAGGTCCCCTGAAATGCTTAGAAACAAGCAAGTGTTGACGTCATTTGAACTGAAACAGGAAGACAGGGCGGGACATAGATAACCTTAAGACTAACATATTGATACTAACACCCAACAAACTTTAATTTTGATTTCATGGGGACTTTAAAGACTCATTTATTCCATCCAAGACGTAATTCTCATAGTATAACTTAAACTAGAATAATAGTTTTGATCTAGTCATTGACCTCCAGTGACAGTCTCACAGTTGTCAGTGGCGTAAAACAGATAGAGAGGAGCTTAACTTCAGCCTGACCCGCAACATGGAGAAGAGCGATAGAGCTTTGAGAATCGTGAGGACTCCACACCCACCATGAGTTCAGGCTTGATATGAGCCAGTGAATGTGAGTCAGTGAGAGCCCACCCATCACACAGAGTCCACTGGAAATGCTTCAAAATAACAATGCACTGTCTCTCTGGACCTGGACTCTTCCTTGCAGACATCTACAAGGCTGTTTTCTGTTAATATTAAACAGAAATGCCCCAAACATGCAGAACAAAGCAACAGAAAAATGCCAGTAAAAAAATGCTGTAATTGTTTTTACAGCACCATTATGATCAATGCACATTTCCTGTGAGCTTGTAAATATGTTTGAATATTCACTAGCCTGTGTGACACACGACTATGAAACATGAGATAACTGAAGTTATGATTGATCTTGTGACCGTCTGAATGGCTTGGGACACACCGACCGAACACAAACTGCATTGATGGCAAAACTCTTATCTGACGCTTAACCCTGCCAAATACTTTTCAGCAGAGTAGGCAATGTGCTGAATCATCGCAATGTCCAGGAACTTCCCTTCTAAGAACTCTGCAGCAAAGAATGATGGGAAATGATTTTGTGGCGTCCTAGTGAAAGACATTTACCCTGATATCCTGATACCGTTGTCTCCTCTAATAAGTCTTCCACAGAAAAGGAAGTATATAACATTGCTGGATCTTCCCCTTCAGTCTGCTGACAAACCTTGCTTCTTAAAGATAACACAATGTGATAAACATATGATCCACCTGGAGATTTGTAGAGGACACCAGTCAGGGTTCCTGCAGCAATCGTGTTGAGGTCGTCCTCTGCCCCTCTGGCTTTCTCTATGATCACCCCAAACGCACTGTACAGCAGAGCTGAACACATACAGTTATAAATCAATACACACATTCAACAGAGATTAGATGTCTGCATTATTATACGACTTCTAAATGAAAAATACCCTTCTGTTTCAAATGAGCATTGACCTGACTACAAAGATGGATGAGATTCATTTTGAGGGGGAAGGAGTCTGAGTTTGGGCCCCTCACCTAATGAACCCAATGTATTTGCCCATGTGGCACCTTGGCGGGTCACCATATTCAGGATCCTGAATGGGAAAGAAAAATGGAGATTAAGAGTTTAAAACCAAGTCACAATTGACCTAAATCACTAAAGACTTCTGTTCTAAAACATCAAGCTATATACAGAAATTAAGAACAACACAATTAAAATACACAAGTAGGTCTTTTCCGGCTCCATAAAACCACATAAGTCTATTAACAGAAAAGCTAATAAACACATGCATATCTTTGCTTCATTACACATGAATCAGCACCTGGATTTTCAAGGCTGACTCATTCAATAACCAGTCTTTAAGGAAATACATTTTGACAGGGTGATCATAACACTTTTTCACCCAAACATCCTATAAATCGGCGGTGTTGTCTTGCACGAAACAGCAGTAGAGCGGCAGACTTTGGCCCAATGTACTTGTATAACTTGTAAAGAACTGCATGTGAACACGCTTTAATGCAGCCTTGACCACATGATGCTTTGGGCCACACAGGTGTGTACACACAGATGTATTTGAGCTATTGATTTAAAACAGCTGTCACAACTTATCTTTATTGATAACACAAAAAAAAAAAAACGGGGAAAAAACATTAAAAAATAGAAATTAAATGAAAAAATTGTACAAAATATAGTGTTTTTGATTGAAATTGTCAATGTCTAGCAGTGTATTGCTTTTTTTTTGGATTTAGTAATATTAAAGGGAAAAAAAACTTTTAAGTAATCAAACTGAATCTTGATGAAAGTTGTTGCTCAAATCATTTATTGAGGTCTGTAACGGCTGCAAAAACACAAACATTGTCAGAAGAGGAACCAAGTGTTGTAATATCAGGATCAAATTTGTGTCTTAATCACAAGTCTTGAAATCAGCTTGCAGTTTTTTTTTAACTGAAGAATAGTATGTTTAGTGGCCACACTCTTTTTAAACTGTAAAAAAGAAATTGCATATATATATATATATATATATATATATATATATATATATATAGAGAAGCATTAGAGAAATATATATATTTATATTGCCATATCAGCTTCACTTCACAGTCTATTACATTGTAGATACAGGTTCAACATTCAACAAACATTATAATAAATACAAGCATATTATAAAATTCTACTTTAAATTGAGACAAAAAAATTAACTTTTGGTCAACTTTGACTTCATCTCACAATTTTGACTTTGTACCTCATACTTTTGACCTTTCACCTCATTATTATGACGTTAAAAATAATTTTTTTTAACACATTTGTATATACAACTCTGTGTAAAAGATCATTTAAATGTACTTTTGATTTAATATATTTTTCCTGGGTAAATCGTACAAAATAAAACATCTAAGTTTGCCCTAAAATCATTGTCTCACGACAATAAAAACTGTCCTGACATTTGTTTTATAGATATGTTAGTACTACAATATTAATTTTTGGCCTATACAACACCTTGTAAACAATTTGGTCTTGTCTGGATTTAAAAGGGTACACGCATCTTTTTCCCAACAGGATTGATTTCATATAATTTGTTGTTTTGACATTCTTTCCATTTCTCTTATATATACTGGCAGATTAAGGGTTTGAGGTTCCAAATGTGGGATTTGGCATTCATTGAAACAATAGCTTTTTTTCCCTCTTGTTCTGTTTTCTTCTCCAATTTGTGACGTCACAACTAGTATGAAACCACCCAACTGTCCGCACCCCAATTTAAATTCAAAGGAAAGATGCACATGACACTGGTTTTAGTGGAATGTGATGCATCACCACAAACCAAAGGAAACATGGGACTGCAATGCTCAGTTTGGTTTATCTGCCTATTCATGACTCGTGCTCCACTGACATCACGGAATAACCCTATTGTATGTTACCTGACCCCACCTTTACCAGGAAATTCACTTCTGCTGTTTCTGTTCCTATGAGAGGAATGGTGCACACTGTGGTGAACACTGCACACTGTGGTGAACACTGCCCTCTGCTGGTTAACTGTTTATGAGTTATGAGCGCATGCAAGAAAGATGTGAAAGAATGAAGTAATACAAACCATCAATGCAGCGGAAATTCCTGTTTAACCTATCTGTGAAATGTCATTAAAGAGATACTATGGAAGCCCATTTCCGCAAGAGATGGCAAAAACATGCTTTAGTAAATCATAATTATGACAGTCAGAATGACAAATGTTGGAGTTATGAGATACTAAACTGAGAAAAATTCAAAATTATGAGATAAAGAGAAAAAAAAAGGTAAAACGGCAAAATTATGACAAAAAGCTGAATTTGTGAGAAATTATGAAATTTTACTTTTTATGTCATAATGGCTTCATCTCATAATTTCAGGACATTCCTGTAAAAGTGGGCATTTCCTGTTTAGTGAGGTTTTCTCCTTGTTAAAAAAACATCGATGAAAAAATGACTATATCTCATCATTTTTACATTTTCTCTTATTATTATTATTATATCTTAAAAATCAACATTATGAGATACTAAGTTGATGAAATAAAAAGTTGAAATTGTGACTTTTCATCATAATTATGAGATACATGACACACATAACTATGACTTACTAAATCATGATGTTATGTCTTATGTGCCAGTCCATATGCAGATAGTTTATCATATTAAACCTAACCGACTGCTTTCATAACTACAACTACAGTACTCACTGTACATTGCGAGGTTTGGACCAAGCCATGTTTCTGGTTTCAGACAAGCCCATTCTAAGTCCATTTACAGCCCCAAAAACAGCACCTGTATGAGTTGTAATATTTTAGAAAATGTGAATAGCAAAAACATCATTCATATTAATTACAAACACATTAATTTAAAAGCAAACACTGAGACTGTATGACGCAGGAGAAGCTATGTGTGAGGAAGAAGAGATAAGATACCTGTGATACAACATCCGCCGATAGTAAAAAAGGCCAGTTCAAAGCGTCCTCTCGTTTTGTTTGCTCCAGTGGGTAAAATGAACTCATCTGTATTCTGTGAGCACATGATCATGACATCCATTAAATCTCATATATTACAAACAAATCAAGGTAGCTATGGGGCATCTAAAACCACAGATCTCACCTGTATGAGATACCTGGGGTCCACATTAAGGTATGGAGAGAGAGGACTCATGCTTGTCACTGTTAAGAAAAACAGCTTTAGTAAGCGACTGAATCATATGTACATTAGTAATATAGTATATAGTGGACTTACATGGCACTCCAGCGAGCTCAGTCTTTGAATACTGAGGGCCAGCAGATCCAAACAGACCGAAGCCTCCTGCACTTCTTGAGCCTGGGCTAGATGGTCCTGATGGCTCCTTATCCATGTCTAGGTGAGGTTCGTGCACCTTTTTACTCAGTTAAATATTTAAAGATATGCCTAACTTATAGGAATAGCTTTGCGCACTAGTGTTAGCCAACAAACATCGGACAAACAAATGTAATCTGTTCCCTGATGAGCTTTAACTTAGCAGGTCAGTAGTAATAAGGTCAAATAAGGACTCTGGCTGGCAATTAGTCTATTTTTTTCCAAAAACACAATCAAATGGTTTAATCATGCAGTATTTTCACTCGCATGGCGACTGTTTAACCTGGAGCTCCTCTTGTTTGCCGTAAAGTAAGCTGTCGACGTTCATTGAACTAACCATCACAAACAGCTCTCATCACTCAAACCCCACACGTTTAGCATTTATACTATGTTATAATCTAAGAAGAAATAACCCGTGTGGTGATGTGGGATAAACTGTGAATATGAAATAAACTTCACTGAAAGTAAAGTAAGCAAAGCTGCACTGAAGCAGCTACACGACAGTTTTTGCGACAGCAATTATTTCTGGCCAGATAAACACATACGGAAAGTGAAACTAAAGCGAATTCATTCTGAGATTTGCAGAGCAGCTGATAAATTGTTTATTAATAACGCAAATGAAAAGGTTTCATATAAAATAATGTATGGAATTTATATATCTATCACTGTGTATTTAGAGGGGGATATGAAACCTGTTACTGAAACGTTTTAAATGGAATTTCATAATAGGCTAGTAATGAAAACGCTTTTTATTTCGCTCTGTATACATGTCTAGCGTTGAAATTGTTTTCATTTTACAACTTTAGGAAGATGAGCAATTGCAAAAAATATTTGTTTGTTTGTTTAAATAATTATTAATTATTGAGGAAGAAGAATATACATTAAAAGTTTCAGTGGCTCCAGACTCTATTTTTTTTCATTTTACACATTATGTAAAACAAATAATGTGTGTTTTGTACACTTTATATGTAATAGCTGTTGTTAGAGCATGTAATATTATTATTAAAAATGATTTCAATAGTTCAGTAAAACAACACATTTTATCTTTTTATTTACTCTGGCATTTATTATTATTATTGCTGTGTTTTTTTCTTGGTATATTATTTTAAAAATTGTGTGATTTCATATGGCCAACAGATTACTGTGGCTCTTTTTGTGTCGCTTAAAACGAGATATATCAAATCAGCATACATATATCAATATAAATTAAATTAGTCGAGCATTTTATTTAAAAAGGGAAAACGTGCGTTATCTTTTTTTTTTTTTGTCTTGGACAAGGGAAATGTTATATTAATAAGTATTAAAACACAATTTACAGTCCTTTATAATTATTTTGAGTATGTCACATTTTCTAAACACATTTTTATTCATACTGTTGTGAACAGTGTTGATTCTGTTTATAAAGATATTATTGTTTGTAGTGTAAAAAAAAAAAAGCGTATTCACGAAGGAATGCGGAAGTCCATCCATATGGTAGACACATCAGCTGTGACGCGCCAAGGCTGTGAAAAAAATGACATCCGTGGCGATGCTCTGACAGAGGTGCGGCAGAACCGAACCGATTTCCAACGACCAAACAGCACATTATATGCTCGGTAATTACTTTCAAAAACATTTTAACCGACATAGAAGCGTGCATAATAATGAATCAGTGGACGCGTTTGGTTAACGAGCAGATGAAGTGCAGTGAGGGGACGGGAAGACGCGCTGTGGTTCTTGTATTGAGGAATTTAACGTTATTATACATCTGAGATCATGCAGTCACACCGGCCATATGTCACTCTCTCAGTCTCGGTCAGAATAACACCTTTGCCTCTATCTGGAGATTAGATTACGCGCTCTTTCAGAAGTGCATTTTATTGTTGTTGCTCCAAGTGATGCCTCCGTGTCTCAAGCGATTTTATTGAGTGAATGGTCTCACGGATCGTCTGTCTTCTGTCATGCATGCATTTGAAATGGTCAGTAACTATAATATATACTTTCGAGCAACCGCCAGTGCGAGTTATTTCAGCAGAAGCTGGCGCTAGTACAGAAAGCACAGCCTGTACACACCGTATTCAGTTTCAATATGTGTGTATCTGGGCCTCGGTGCAAGAGATGCGCTTAGATCGTTCATCATCGGTGAACGTGTTGAATATATGTGCAATTGTATGGCGGGCCGATTGAATCCTGGCCATTATAATATATATATATACATGTGTACAGTAAGGCTCTACCGAGCGCCGTGCCTTTACAAGGTCAGAGTGCTTCATAGCACGGTTCTTTCTACATTTCGTGTTGAGACCTTAAAACGTTCTTGACGTGGATATCTTGAACACGGGATAAATTACACGTTTTAAAAGGCAATATACAGTTGGACACACTTTGGGTTGCAGCCCCATTTAATCCTTTCCCAGAATGCACCGTGCCTGCATAGTTGTGTTTCCTGTTTACCGTTGTGACGCTTTTGTTTGGCTGTTTTCCCTTAATTGTCGAGGTTTCAAGTAGATTGCTATGGATTTGTTTTGCCGCGAATTGATCAGAGAAGGTGAGTTTATAAATAAATAAGCCTGACGTAAACACGCGAAAATGCGAGATCGGCGAGACTTCGCGGCATCTCGCTGATGAGGAAATACCCTGGCGCGAGCGTCCGCTTTCGTTTTACACTTCGACATATTATCTATAACTTATATTATTATATTATCGCGTTCCGACGGCTTTGACAGATTTCGGACGAACTGCAGAACGATTCTTCAGGGCGTTCTCTAAAAATCAGAGCGATTCTTCCGAACGGTCTCCGAATGATTCTTCAGAACGTTCTTTAAATGTCAGAATGATTCCTCAAGGTGTTCTCCAAATATCAAGATGATTCCTTTAAGCGTTTTTAAATATCAGAATGATTCTACGGAATGTTCTCTAATGACGGAATGATTCTTCTGAACGTTATTTTAAATGTCAGAGTGATTCTTAAGAGCAGTGGTTCCCAACCCTGGTCCTGGAGGCACCCCAACACTGCACGTTTTGCATGTCTCCTTTCTCTGACATACCAGCTTTAGGTCTTGGAGTCTCTACTAATGAGCTGATGACCTGAATCAGGTGTGTTTGATTAAGGAGACATGCAAAACGTGCAGTGTTGGGGTGCCTCAAGGACCAGGGTTGGGAACCACTGCTTTAGAGTGTGGCAGAATGATTCTTCAGAACATGCTTTACCTAAATGTCAGAAATGTCGGTGTAGAACCTTCTCTAAATGTAAGAACGTTCTTGTTTGGATCTCATAAATGTCAATCGTGGAAAAGTCTGCTTGATGGTTGTTAATGGTGCAGATATATTCATGCTGTAGTCATGCATATAAGCCTAAAAACATTAAAAAAATGGCTAGAGGAAGCAAAATATCTTGCATCATATAGATCATGAGTCTCCAGCATAAATTGTTTTTTCAATGGCCTAAGATTAATGCAATGCTGTCGAGCATATGCATGTAGTAATATCCATGACCTTAAAAAAAAAACAAATATTTTACTCAAAATAAACAACTTTTATTAACGGAGATAGATTAAAACAACAACACATTTACAAGTCTTGACACAAGGGGTGGATACACTTCTATTAATCTGTCGAGCAGACTAATTATCAGACAATAACCTCAAAAAAACAGCCGAATATTGGCAGATGTATGTTATTATTCCTGGTACTGTTTAATCAAACTCAAGATTTTTATTTATTTATTTATTTTTCCTACTAGGATTTGCCGAGGTGTAAATTAAGCCTGGAATAGTCGCAGCTCCCCAGTGAGAAAACAACAGAAGGGCCGTGAAGATCAGCCCTAATGGAAGAGACAGAAACAGTGCTGACCTGCTCCGAGCAGGACGCTTTAGGAGCAGACTTCATCACGGTGGAACTTGACACCCAGCCCATCGAATATGTGGTCAAGTGGGCCGAGGTGGGCTCGAAATTCACTATAGCCTGTGTGAAAAAGGATTTGGACGAGGCTGCCTGCTTCACCTCCGATCAGATAGTCAAAGTGGAACCGGACGAGACGTTCTTTGTCCCTTACGAAGCGGTGTACCCCGAATGTGACGAGGCAGATCCAGATTGGATTGCGACGCATGAGGAGGAGGTGGGCAGCGAGTCAGACTTCAACGAGAACAACACAGAAGCGGGGAATAGCCAGTTGTGCGAAGAAGTGGACGTTTCGGATGTCTGCTGGGAGAAGGAGGTGTCTCATGCTAGAACGTATAACTGCCGCTTCTGTGGCAAGAGCTACAGCCATTCCTCCAGTCTTGCTCGCCATCTGCATGTGCACTCGGATGGATCCTCCTCTAAAGATTTCAGCAAGTTGTGCGACAACAAAAAGTCTCTCCAGTGCAATCTATGCGGAGTGCGGTGCAACGGCAAGCGGCTTTTGGCGATACACAAGAAATGCCACAAAACCAAGAGACTGCACACATGCGACACATGCGGGAAATCGTTCAATCACAGCTCGAGTCTGTCGCGGCATCGGTTGATCCACAAAAAAGGCCTGGATAAGGACGTCAGACCGTTATACCCGACTCCAACCCCAGCTCCCATCGTAACCCAGCACAGTTTCCCATCCGGCCACGGCATGAGTAAAAGAACGGTGGAGAAGCAGTACCAGTGCGCGCAATGCGACAGAGTCTTTAGCCACTCCGCGGGACTCTCCAAGCACCAGGTGGCTCATGTGAGACAGCTGCTCAACTCGTACACACACGGCAAAGACTCCCTCGACAAGTCCTCGGACCTCAAGATCCGCTTGAAGCTCTGCTCCCGCGACAAGCCCAACTACTACACCCTGTGCAAGAAGAACAAGCACGGTAAAGGGGGCAAGAAGAGGTTGTTCCTGCCCAACGAGGAGCGGCCGTACCCCTGCCGGATTTGCAACAAACGCTTCAGCCACACCGCCAGCCTCTCGCGGCATGAGCACACGCACGCCAGCAACATGTGCTACGCCTGCAACATCTGCAGGAAGACCTTCATGCGGCTCTCCAACCTCAAGCAGCACCAGCAAACGCACGCTAAGGGAAAACTCTACAAGTGCCCACAGTGTGGGAAAACTTTCGTTCACTCCTCCAGCTTCTCGCGCCATAAGAAAGTCCACGCGGCGATGAGCCTGTCTTCGAAACAGGAAGTTGTTATGTGCGAAGAGGAACTGGTCATCGATGAGGTGGCCCCGCTGGAATACGAGTCCGAGTGAGAAAGACCGAGGCTCTGGAACTGTCGAGGCTTTTCTTTTCTTCTTTTGGTTTGTTTTTGTTTACCCCTCATTCTTATTTTGCGAAATCGTAATTTGGGTGTGGCATGACTGGCTGTGTGGTTTCAATTGAATACTATTGTAATTATTATAACCCTTTTCAGCCACTTTTAGGGGATATAGTAGATATAAAAAGTGTTTTTGTTTTCTTGGTTGACATTCCTTTGTGTTTTGTTCATTCGGTTTATTTGCAAGCCAAATTGTGTAATTTATGTCTCTGAAATTTTAGGTATTAACAAGAAAATCAACAGAGAAAAGCGGATGGCATTGGCAATGCAGGTGTTATTTATTTTAATTTTTTGTTGTGCTTGCACTGAATCTGTGAAGCCAGAAGAAAGTACTTATTGGGGTGAGGGGAGAAGGTAATATTAAATTCAAGTTTGTTAGTAGGAAACCAGAGTTTTGTATGCCAGAAGTAAATTAATATGCAATTTACTTGAACGTTGTTCTATTTAAGTGTGCGGTTTGAATCAGTTATTTCTCCTGTAATTATATTTAGTGACCTAATTTCTTAGACCAACAAGTTCAAGGCTTTTCTCATCTGAAGTCTGGAGACACAAAAACAGGTTTTGCTGTTTGGTTTTATGGGATATATATAAAAAAAACTGTATACAGTTCCAGTATAAACCGCTGGACGAGTGCAAATGGAGGAGCTGTACTCCGGACTAACAAGTGTTTTGGGGTGTTTTGATTGTTCTGCATTTGACTAGTTTCCTCACCATGTTGTCTTTGGTACTTATTTCCTCTTTGATGTTCTTTTGTCAAAATATGAAATCCATTGTGTCCATGGAGGGTATTTATAAAAAAAAATAAGAAAAAAAGATGCTTATTGGACACGGACGTGACTAAACGAACTGGTGGTAATATCTAGCTAAATGTTTCATTAGAATCATAGATAGACTATGACTATGAGTGTTTACTGATCTTTGGCAGCGCACAAATGCACAAAAACGAAGAAATATATCTGCTATTTATAAGCTGCAACTAGATAATGAAGGGAGAATTTGTTGAACACCCCTCAAAACGTACTGTCTACCGTGGTGATCGTATCAGACGGTAGTAAAGAGACAGTAGGCTACATATAGCATGATAGCCATGATACTCAAACTTAAAACACCATAAAATCAATAAAAATTGATAATATAAAGTCTACGGTGTAACGTTAGTTGAGTATATTTTTGGAAACGGAGAAATATAAAATGTTGTTTACTATCTAGAACGCCCCCTGCTGCCCACCGCAATAACTTCATCTAACCAAAATTACCATGGTTACTAAACAGATAAGATAGGCCTACGATTCTAGAGTTAACACATACAATTTCGGCTACACCAATAATCTATCTATCTATCTATCTATCTATCTATCTATCTATCCTGAACATTCATACAAGCCAAGTCAGAAAGTTAACTTTATTTCTAAAGTGCTTTATACAATATTGTTTCACAGCAGCTTCGCAATAGTATCAAATTCACATTCTGCTGTAAAGTAGCTCTAACAAGTCAATAGTGACATTCTACAGCTCAAGATACAGTGTGTAAAAACTGTATCTATTTTCTAGTATGCGTAGTTATTCATACTAGAACTTATTTATTAGACACTATTATCTTTTGCAATTATTAGTAACTATTCTTATCTTAGTCAGATTTGCTTTTTTACTCGTCTTATGTTATGACTAGTCGAATGACCACAGAGTTAAATTAAATATTTTACTAGTAAAATAAAAAATCATACTAGTAACAATTCAAATAACTACTAGTATATATTTAATAGGTTTGAGTACCTAATGAATAAGTACTAGTATCTAATAATAAGAACTAATATCTAATGAATAAATACTAGTATGTAATAAATATGAACTAGTATCTATTTAATAGGTAAGAGTATCTAAATAAGTACTAGTACTAAATAAGTAATAGTAAATAAGTACTAGTATCTAATGATTAAGTACTAGTATCTAATAATAGGTACTAGTATCTAAAAATAAGTACTAGTACCTAATGAATAACTACTAGTACATAAAAACTATGTACTAGTCACAACTGGAATACATACTAGTCAAAACTGAATAGCTGATATCTCAGTGACAGATCCCCATAGAAGTCAGTGGCAAAAATTTTAAATTTGTTACTTGTAACAACAGAATAGTTACTAGTCACTATTGAAATAAGTACACTCTAAAAAATGCTGGGTTAAATACAACCCAGTGCTGGGTAAAATAGGGGAAAAACCCAGCAATTGGGTTGTTTTGACCCAGCGGTTGGGTTACTA